TGGAACCAACAATACACACCCACAAAATTTCATTGAAATCGGTTAAGCGGTTTTGGAGATTAGCGTAAACCAAAACTGGGCAAACCAACACAGTATCATTTTGTCGTGGTAATAGTGCGTCGCGCTCAGTTATGGTTGCCACGTTTTTATAAATGTACTAAAAATGGTATTTTTCGTGCATGTGTCTTTTGCCCTATTTTGCTTATACGTATAGTGAAATAATGAATCGTGGAAGTTTTTAGTAACTAATACTATTAGTTTATAGAAACTTTTCCATACGAAAAATGTAATACTTGTAAAAAATTTAAATAGGTTTAACTCATTTGTTAAATACCTGCACACAATTTTATTGGAGTCTAATCTTTGAAATGCTGGCCGGCCAGATGATTTCATTGTTTAGATTTTATTATTTTCATATAAATAGGAATTTAGTGCTAAAAATAGAACATAACTTATAAATATTATTCATTAAGTATTTTTTCGTATAAACCAGCATTTAAATTTCTATATCGATTTCTTTAGATAGAAACAAATTATTCTAAAATATGGCATGCTATTTGTGCACTTTTTTATAAAAATCTTGGAACTTATTACAAAATTATTGAACGTTGGTCAGCAACCAGCTCATTTTATATATTTTTTAAATTGTCACGGCATGCAAAATACAGTTTGCTTGTATTAAAAATACGTAGGCATAACCACATAACGGATATTGCGGCTCGTTGAAAGTTCTTTGAACAATAAACTCTAGTTCCTATATAGGGTCGCACTATTTTGTGTTTGCATTNTCGGTTAAGCGGTTTCGGAGATTAGCGTAAACGAACACAGTGACACAGGACTTTTATATATTAAGAAGAAGAAGATTAAGATAAGCACGTTGCGAGGACCATAGAAAAAATGTCCATGAAAAAAAATATATATTTTTTCTCGGATTCAAAATTAACCTATCTTTTAAGTTGGAACCAACAATACACACCCACAAAATTTCATTGAAATCGGTTAAGCGGTTTTGGAGATTAGCGTAAACCAAAACTGGGCAAACCAACACAGTATCATTTTGTCGTGGTAATAGTGCGTCGCGCTCAGTTATGGTTGCCACGTTTTTATAAATGTACTAAAAATGGTATTTTTCGTGCATGTGTCTTTTGCCCTATTTTGCTTATACGTATAGTGAAATAATGAATCGTGGAAGTTTTTAGTAACTAATACTATTAGTTTATAGAAACTTTTCCATACGAAAAATGTAATACTTGTAAAAAATTTAAATAGGTTTAACTCATTTGTTAAATACCTGCACACAATTTTATTGGAGTCTAATCTTTGAAATGCTGGCCGGCCAGATGATTTCATTGTTTAGATTTTATTATTTTCATATAAATAGGAATTTAGTGCTAAAAATAGAACATAACTTATAAATATTATTCATTAAGTATTTTTTCGTATAAACCAGCATTTAAATTTCTATATCGATTTCTTTAGATAGAAACAAATTATTCTAAAATATGGCATGCTATTTGTGCACTTTTTTATAAAAATCTTGGAACTTATTACAAAATTATTGAACGTTGGTCAGCAACCAGCTCATTTTATATATTTTTTAAATTGTCACGGCATGCAAAATACAGTTTGCTTGTATTAAAAATACGTAGGCATAACCACATAACGGATATTGCGGCTCGTTGAAAGTTCTTTGAACAATAAACTCTAGTTCCTATATAGGGTCGCACTATTTTGTGTTTGCATTGTCGCAAATGCATGCAAACACCAATCTAAGAAAAACACACCACTTTTTGCTTTAGGGATTTTTTGTAAATTTTCTACTCAAACTGTGGCAAGCCCGTGCTAAAATTACGAGGAAAAACAATCCACAGCCGAACATGATGTTACCTTGGTGAAATCTGCAAGCAGACTGAATTAGGGATGCAAACGATGCATCGATATTTTTTAAACATCGATAATATCGGCTCAAAATTCGATGTTTGCCATCGATGTTTACAATTTTCTAAATTCGCTAAATTGACGATACATCGATGTCAGTTTCAGCGATGTTTTAACAACGACTTTAGTGTGATTCAGACTTGAATTCATCTTACCCATTATGCTCCTAAAATTTTTTGACTGGCCATGAATTTTATTACTTATTCTTTTGGGGAAAATTCAAAAATTCCGTGTATACTCTTATCTTTCGATATTAAATGAATAATCATTAAAAAAGGACCGGGTTCCCGTTGAAATTTCAACGAAATTGGGGCTTGGAACTTTAATTTCGTATGAACTTTGTATGTATTTTGTATGTATTCCATTACCGAGAAATTAGCAGAACTTTTAAAAACTTAGCGATCTGTTGAGTTTAGATTTTGCTTCACATTTTCTTAAGTTACATTTTTAGTGCACTGGTACAAATGGTTGTGCGAAGTTATGCGAAGTATGCATAATCAGACCCTAACACGGGATCTTTATATATTAAAATAAGCACGTTGCGAGGAGCATAGAAAAAATTTCGATAAAAAAATATATATATTTTTTCTCGGATTCAAAACTAACTTTTCTTTTAAATTGGATCCAAAAATACACACCCACAAAATTTCATTGAAATCGGTTAAGCGGTTTTGGAGATTAGCGTAAACGAACACAGTGACACGGGATTTTTATATATGTATTCAAAAATTTGTATCTATGGTCCGATTTGATTAAAATTTTGTACGTAGCTGAGACATTCTTTTTTATATCGGACACCAAATTTCATATATGTAATACTTCTATATTGGCAGTAAGCTAACTTCTCAATGTGTAAGCATTCCGAAATCAAAGCGAGACAGTCTAGTACCGTTTTTGTCAATGTATCGTGTACTTGAGTACCGTTTTTGTATATGTGTTGTGTACATGTTTATTTATAAACGTGTGTGTTCGTTTCCTTTCGTACGTGTTTATTGATATATCTGTACTGTAGTGTTTTCGGACGGTACTAGCTCTTACTGCCAATATAGGAGTATTACATATATGCCAAATTTGGTGTCACACTCTCGATTGGCTTCAAATTTTTTGTATGGGTTCTATATATGAAATAAGGTAATACGTATTCGAGGAAATTTTTTTATATTTTTTTTCTTCGGAGATATGATCTGTCAAAGTTTGCATTTTTTCGTGATTCTGACTAATCATGTACTTTTTCAAATCGTAATATCTCGGGTTCTGCTCATCATAGAGACTTAAGCCCAAAATACAATAACGCAGTGGCAGTGGCTGTGGCAGTTTTTGGAAATCAGCTGTTTTTTTAGAAAGTGTGGTGTCCAATGAAGCGACTCACAATCCAGCAGTGGCAGCAGGCAGTACTGCTCAGTTTAGCCCAAATTCTAAATTCACTGCCACTGCCTTCATCGCAGCAAACTTCGCATGCTGAATTTGACATAAATAAAATGCAACCAACTTCTGTGCATGTCACTGAAGCCTAAAAGACAACAACAAAAATGTAAAGAAACAAAAGGGAATCTCAAAAAAAGCTGTCACTGACAACGCCGTATTGTATTTGCTGTGGCAGTGACTGCCAATATTAGCAGTAACAGCCGATTTTAAAAACTGTCACTGCGCTATTGTATTTTGGGCTTTAATCTTAACGTCGTTTTAAAGCTAAAGAAACTGGCTTAACATTTCTATATATAAGATCGTCATGATTGTCCTAAAGCTAACTTAGCTATTAACAGCTAAACTTGTTTAAGGTTAATTCGCATAGTGAAGACCAGTAAATTAGGGATTCAAAATTATACCATCGTAATCCTTGTTTAATTCTCTATAAAAAACATGGTTAAAAAAATGAGGATTTTTCAAGAACTATTTTTAAAATATTATTTATGACGAGATGGTTTATTTTGTGAGAATGAACAATTTTTTAATTTTATTTTCGAAAACTTATGATGAGATATATTTAGTAAGGTGTTAAACATAGGGTCTTTGCAAACTGTAAAATCTTATTGTGGATTCCGATAGAACACCTATCCAGAAATAATATTTATACGGCAAGATTTTTCTATAAGGCGACAAAACCCTAGAATTGGCGGTGCAATTGCAGGACTAAGTTAGAAAAACGCGGATTTTATTGCGGATTTCGGCAGAATATCGCTTCGCTAAAAACATTTGTTCCACAACTTTTTCAATCCGAGAATATTCTAGAAATAGGCGTGGCTATATTAAAACGAAAGGTAATACATTTAGACTTTATTGTGAATTTCGCCAGAATATCTATATGGATGGAAAAAGTTGGTGAATAAATGTTGATAGCGAAGCGATTTTTGCCGAAATCCGCAATAAAATCCGCGTTTTGCTAACTTTAGTCCTGCAATTGCCACGCCCATTTCTAGGGATTTGTCGCCTTACAGAAAAATTTTGCCATACAAATATTATTTCTGGATAGGTATTCTAACGGAATCCGCAATAAAATTTTACTGTTTGCAAAAACCCGATGTTTAACACCTTACTAAGTAGATCTCATCATAAGTTTTCGAAAATAAATTACAAAAAATTGTTGATTCCCACAAAATAAACCATCTCGCCATAAAGACAAATATTTTAAAAGTAGTTCTTGAAAAACCCCCATTTTTTAAAGAAGGATTACGATGGTATAATTTTGAATCCCTAATTTACTGGTCTTCACTATGCAAATCAGCTTCAAAAAGTTCAGCTGTTAATAGCTAAGTTAGCTTTAGGACAATCTTGACCATCTTTTATATAAAACTATTANTTTCGAGTGTCGACTAGTAGTATGTAAACGACTATTATTCGATTGTCGTTTTCTTGTTAAATAAGTGAGCGTTAATTGCTTTCAGTCTACAACTGTTTGTTTGTAGAAGGATGAACGACTAAAAACTGTTAACAGTCGCTAAATGAACGGGAAATCCACATTCAAAATACCATGGAAAAGGGATACAATAAATCGAGTGGATATAAACGTGATAATAAAATACATATGTACGTAGATCTTAAAATACGAGGCATAATTTACTTACAGTTCATTTACCACATCTAACCGGCCTTGAGTAACATCGCTACCCTCCCTATTTCTCGCGATACATTTGTATACACCGTGGTCGTTTATTTGACAGTTTTTGATTACTAATCCGTGGTGATCACCGTCGTTAGTTATGTGGTATTTATCCCCTGTTGAAATGGGCTTGTCCTGAAAGTACCATGACAGTTCAGGATTAGGCACGCCAGAAGCAGTTACAGCTATTTTTGCATCAGACCCAATTAATTGTTGTTGATCACATATCTTTTGAGTAAATATAGGCTTTTTGTAAACTTTTCTGACATTAGCTTCGCAAGAAGAGTTATCTTCGCCAAGTGGGTTAGCTAAGAGGCAGCTATATGTACCCGAGTCACTAGCTTCAGCAGGAGCTATATTCAAATTAACATGTTTACCATCACATTCAATTAAAAAGCGATTATCAATGGAGAGAGGGGTTCCATCTTTTGACCAAATAACTTCAGGAATAGGATTTCCAACAAATGCTGCAGATATATTGATCTCATCTCCTTCATTTGCATTTACGTCTCTAATAGATGACACAAATCGAGGAGGTTCCTCTGGCATAGATTCGTCCATTTTCAAAGCGACATGTAATCTTGCTTTTGACGAAGCAGCACCTTTTATATTTGAAGCAACTACTTCATATAATCCAGAGTCATTCAAATTAGCCTGCTCAATAACTAAACTACATGCACCATCATTATTTTGTATAAAAGTACACTGGCCCTTGGCAGCGAAAATTTCTTTGCCATTACGAAACCATTTAATGTCCGGAAGAGGATTTCCTACTACTTTTATTTGTAACTTTAAGGGAAATCCTTCAATACAATTGGTATCATGCAACTCTGTTATAAACTCTGGTTCTTTATCCTTTGCTAATACAGTCACGGTAGAGCTTCCTTCCATTTCACCATTTTTGTTGACTATGATACACTTATATATGCCAGCATCTTGAGGTTGCACATTATCTATGCTGCAATAAAAATATAGATACACGTCCGTATTAATATAATGGCGTTGCTGTTATTATAGCACTAGAAAATTATCGATCCCTTTGCGCTAAACTATCGTATGTGCCCGAAACCAAATTTTACAGGAGAGCGTTTTTACCTACCTTTTATTAGCTCCGGATGTAACTATGTAATATTGATGTGCCTAAAATATGCAGCGATTGCTATTATCAAGTTACATACCTGATGACAGTACGAATGGAAATTATAGTAGCGAGGTTTTAGTTTTTTAAGCTATAATTTTATTTGTACTTTAAAAATTTTTTTATTACATTTTTTTATANCCTTTTATTAGCTCTGGATGTAACTATGTAATATTGATGTGCCTAAAATATGCAGCGATTTCTATTATCAAGTTACATACCTGATGACAGTACGAATGGAAATTATAGTAGCGAGGTTTTAGTTTTTAAGCTATAATTTTATTTGTACTTTAAAAAATGTTTTATTACATTTTTTTATGTTTAATTATTTTTTGCTATGTTCAAAATACTTTTGTATGGCACATACGATAATTTCGCCCCAAAGAAAATAATGCATTGTAACTTACAATAAAATATACAGTAAATTTTTGGCCTAACTGTAGGGATTTTGGCCACAATATTTTACCAAGTGATGCGTTGGGCAGAGTAGAACAAATTTGCATCTAAAGTCGAAAAAATGGTACATCCGATAATTTTGCGTAAAGGAGTCGACATAGTGATTATAGCTTAAAGAAAGCTTTACCCGGATCGATTTTCTAGTAGATCGATTTTTGTCGTTCAAGCAAAATCGACCCGTGTAAATGGCAATTCAACCGGCTGCGACTTGTCTCGACTGGTGAAAATGCTTTGGGCTTGATGTTTCAGTTGATTTTCCAGTCGACATAAATCGAGTTAAGGCAAATTTATCAAAGCCACATTGACNGCGTAAAGGAGTCGACATAGTGATTATAGCTTAAAGAAAGCTTTACCCGGGTCGATTTTCTAGTACATCGATTTTTGTCGTTCAAGCAAAATCGACCCGTGTAAATGGCAATTCAACCGGCTGCGACTTGTGTCGACTGGTGAAAATGCTTTGGGCTTGATGTTTCAGTTGATTTTCCAGTCGACATAAATCGAGTTAAGGCAAATTTATCAAAGCCACATTGATAGGTAGCATTAAAAGTGGGTGACCAAATGAGTCGAAGGAAAAATCAGGACACCCCCAAACGGTTGAAAAATGAGATACAGGCATGCGCTGATAATCGTTTTCGAATGAATTTAGTTTTGAATTCAGAATTACGTGTGCTCAATTTCACTGTGTCGATTTCGATTTGAACATTTTTTGAACATAAATCGATGCGATTTAGCCTGTGCTAGTTTATAAATGATCAGCTTTGTAATAAAAATAAGGATATGAGACGGGAAAAGAAAAATTAGTCAGGATCAGGGCTGCAAACCACTCCAAAAATCGGTGTGGTTCGGTTCAGTGGTTCAAACCACTCAGATAAAGATTGTACCGGTTCATGAGTATCCCTGAACCGTGGTTCGGTTCGGTTCAAATGGTTCAATTTTTGTATGCTAAATATGTAAATATGACAAATCTATAATATAACAAGTAAGAGCAGCGCTGTCTTCGGCTATGCCGAAGGCTTCATACCTTTCATGAACATCTGCAAATTTTACTTTGACAGATTACTGCTTTTGAATACATCTGCATACATCGATAGAGGAGTTACATACTTATATAAAAAATCGCATCTAAACAATCAGAGGTATGGAAGATATACTTTATATGGCACCAATCTAAGTGATTTTCACTGCTATGTGATCGGTATGTAAACCGGTAACACAATTTATTGGGTTTAGTTTCCTACATAAAGGAGATATATCGCAAAAACTGGTATCTGAACAATCAGTGCTATAGGAGATAAAGCTTATACAGCATAGATTTTGACGATTTTCTCAGTAGACTTTGTATTATTATTTATACAATAGCTTACGAAATTCATCGGTTTCAGCTGTCCAAATAAATTAGTTTTACACTAAAACCCCATATCTGAACAATCAGTTATATGGAGGCAATATATAAGTTACAGTGACCCAATATTTGTTACTGTAAACTATCTGTTTTGATACTGTAAACTATCTGTTGATAATGAGTGAAAATAGTGCGAAATATCATGTTTCTAGCTGCATATATTTAGAAGTTATAACAAAGAATCACATAACTGAACAATCAGTTGTATGGGAATGTAATGGTATGTAAAAGTGACCCGATCTTTGTTATTTTCACTGTAAGTCTTCTGTTGATAATGAGTGAAAATAGTGCGAAATATCATGTTTCTAGCTGCATATATTTAGAAGTTATAACAAAGAATCACATAACTGAACAATCAGTTGTATGGGAATGTAATGGTATGTAAAAGTGACCCGATCTTTGTAATTTTCACTGTAAGTATTCTGTTGATAATGGGTGCAAGTACTGCAAAATTTCATGTTCGTAGCTGCATAAATGGAGAAGTTATAACGAAAAATCTCATCTGTATGGGAGCTATATGTTATAGTGGTCCGATTCTTTCGGTTCCGACAAATGATTAATACATTATAAAAATACACCCACCTACCAAATTTGATCCGGATATCTCGAAAACTGAGAGACTAGATTGCATACAAACAGACGGACAGGCAGACAGACGGACAGACGGACATGGCTAAATCAACTCAGCTCGACGTTCTGATTATATAAGTATACATTTTAATGGGTCAATCTCTTTTTGTTCTGGTACTTACAAACATCGGACCAAAGTTATAATACCATTTCATGCTCATGAAAGGTATAAAAAATAAATAGGCACGCGACATTTTAGCAAGTTTTAGCAATTTTTATTTTGTCTTTTTTTAATGTTTATTTTTTTAATATAAAAACACAAGTTTCAAACTTTTAACAAAAGTTATGAAAATCCTGATGAAACATTATCTAGATTGCAAAATTTTTAATAAACATTTCTAAGAAAAATTTTTAAGTTTTAACTTAATTTTTGACCATATTCACGGATACAAAGTATGTGGGATTTTTTTTTGTATAGAAGAAAATTCGTAATACCCGAAACAAAAAAATTATTTAAAATCAACGCGATCAAGGCGAAATTAGAAAAATTTTAATAAACGTATTTAAGGTTTGTACAAGTCGTGAGCCTAGCCGAGTAGACAAACACAGCATACTTAGGATTTTTAAATGACACTCAAAATCTTGGCTTAATGTTGAAACCCCCATTTTCGGCCAGTTGGAGATTACACTAGGCCTTAACTTCATATGTACAGTATACCTGTGGTTAAAATAACATTTGACAATTTTTCTTCTTTTTTTTTTGGTTTAATGTTCGTTAATTTTTTATAAAAGTATAGCTCGTTCTATAAAAACAACCACATAAATCCAAATTAAAGTCTCTGTACGAAAATTAGAAAAAATTACAGATTTCAAAAAAATTGCATCAAAGCATCAATCTTTTTATCAGAACTAAAAAATCCGAGTATGCGGTTTTATAGCTCAATTATCTTAAAATTCGCATTGATTTTTTAATTATTTTTTCGCTGGCGNAACAACCACATAAATCCAAATTAAAGTCTCTGTACGAAAATTAGAAAAAAATTACAGATTTCAAAATTACAACTCACGGAGTTGCCATCAAACAAAAAATTTTTTTAATTTTTACCACACGGGATGCATTTTCAGACAAAATTACAAAACTTGAAAAATGCTATAGTGGATTTTCATTTTGAACCG